CTGAAGATATGAAGTGTGTGTTTCAGAGGTAACTTCTCAAATAACATTCTCTGAATCTTATTGACCAGATACAAAACCAGTATTCAAATTTAATTTTAAAATCAAGTAAAGCAAAAATCTGAATGCATAACAATAAAAGTATTCACAAATGAAGAGATAAGCACATAATTATGTCCATACACTTTTCAACACTTTTTAAAAAAAGGAATCTATGACTCTATGAGTCATACAGAATCATAAAGTATGGTTTATAACCAACTTTGCATGAGCTCCGGCCAGTTTGGCTTATGGTCAAGAATCCTGGGAGTTGTAGTCCAAAACCTCTAGAAGCCACTAGGTTAGAAAGGCTAGATTAGGTTTCTAGAAAGTTGAACATTTACTTAGCAAGAAACCTCTGTCTTCCACTACAACACAGACTAATTAAAATGTAGCATTTAGGTACTTGGGTGACAATGTACATAGGCATGGAATAATGTGTACCCAAGAGAAATAATCCAATTTATTTTGGATCAGTTGCAGTATAAATAACATACAAATTCTATTTGTGGCATTGTTTTGATCAAAAGCTTGAGGACTAATGGCATGCAGTGAGAGTCTTACATTCATGGGTTGGATCAAATAGCTCTGTTCTGCTCACTGAAGAAGGAGCCCTTCCATACACAGAAGAGTTCTGTGAAGAAAAGATTCTCTCATGAGTACAACAGAACCTTTGGTTCAAATCCATGATTGGTTAGCTGCTGTATAAGAATTTAAGTAATGTGGTATAAATTTATTCTTCTATATCTTCTTAGAGTAGGAGCAGGCAACTTTCAGGCTTATGGAATCCACTTTGTTTTTACTTGAATCCTGAGGAACACCAAGTACAAAATAATGGCTTAGAGAGATGGATTTAGAATTAAAGAACCTCTGAATGCATGTTCAATCCAGAAAATATTTTCTCTGCCAGTTTATAGACCTTACACACACAGTTCAGCTCTGTTTTCCTTCCAAATGTTTTAGTTTCAATCATGTTAATTTTAATGGGGGGGGGGTATTTTTCTTATTGTTGAACAATTTGACAAAAGAAATCTTTGTCAATCAACTACAAATTGCCTAGTCTATCAGTAGATTACAGTCTACCTCCTGCCCATCCCTGCTCTAGAAACCATGTAAAAATCTACTAATGAAGTCTGTTCAGCATTTATTAAAATGTTTTGTTCTGAAAACAAGTCTTTAATTGAATATTCAATTGAATATTTCTACATTCCCCAAACTGATCAGATGCCAATTGAGGTACAAGAGTTTATTTCAAAAGCTCTGATCAATGGCTGCCCTTCTTGGTAAAATAAGAATATAATGTCCTATGAAGGGAAGTAAAATATTTTATTTTCTGAAATCCATTCATATTTTGCATTATTACTAGTTGAAAAAAAGGAGAAAAATATATTAAAGACCAAGACAGCACTTCAGTGCACACTTAGCTGGGAGTAAGGCCCAATGATCAGTGTAGGGATTACTTCTGAAAAATCATGCATAAGATTGCTTGGCAACTGAGATATATTAATATATTAATATATTTCCCTCTATGGAAACAATATTATGAGCCATGTTAATACTTTATTACATCCTATTGCTATTCTCAATACATTAAAATGAGCAGCATCGTTCAATTAATCAAATACACTTTAGAATTACTAAAACTATTTGAAAGCGATGTTTTTTCCAGATTTCTGGCTATTGTCATATGTAGCTCTTGCAATTCTTGCATATACTTTAATATGCTTTCTTCTTTTAGGCATTGCTGCATATTTTATGCACTTGTGTTTTATGTTATGGCATCAACCCCTGATGTAAATGAACATCTGCAGTTTTTTCTTTTAAAAAACTACTTTACCAGAGCTTAAATTTTTAATCTGATAAACTATTAGTCACCATATTACTCAATATCTGTCTTAGAAAATCTCCAGGGAGTACTGTCACTCAGCCACTGATCCAGAGACAAGGACTCTGTAAGAAACCATACTCTGAACCCAATGAAGGCCAATTACTAATTCAAAAGGCCACATATGTAGTACAAACATTCGCCCGACTGCAATCCTGAGCATACTTACCTGGAAGTAAGTCCCATTGATTTCAGTAAAATTTATTTATGAGTAAGCCCGCTAATTGAAACAAGACTTATTTCCAAGTAAGCATGCATAGGTTGAAGGAGTTAGATTAATAATTTCCAAATGATAGATCCGACAAACCCTTCAGCAGGGTTGCAACAGTGCCTACAGTAAAGGTTAGAACAATGTAGAACAAAGGCCTTAAGATGGCTCCAGTTATATATGAAAAGATTCAGTTGACAGGTGAGTTCTGAACAAACATAAAATTCTACTGATAGCTCCTCTGTCAAAGTTAGCAGCAAAGAGTAATCAGGTGATTCTGGAAAGTTAGTACTGGAATTCCATTTGATCCCAAGGAAAATATGAACATCTAAACACAATCCTATATAATCAGACCCTTTATATAGATTAGTTTGCTATTCCCAGTATATAAAGAAATGCCACAGAATATATAAATATGTCATTAAAATGGCAGTAGCTCTGACAATTAATATATGATACCTGGAAAATTACTAAATGAAACTATGCTTAAACCACTGTGCTTTAGGCCTCGAAACATATTCAAGGCATACATGAAGAGCCTTGTAATGCATACTTTTTTCCAACCACATGCTTAAGAAATAGACTGTCAATTATGCAAGACAGTGAAAGTTAGAATATGTAAATATTTTGTCAAACATGGTAAGAGGCAATCTACTACTAAAATAATATTTATTATTAGCTTTTTAAAATCCAGAAAATTCCAAGGAGACCCCAAAGTTTAAATGTGAGCCTCAATATATTTGAATAGCAAAATAAAAAATAAAAGGAACTGAAACTTTGATAGAAACATACTCTCAACCACATTCAACAAACTAGGAACACATCTTTATTTGGTAGGAGAGGTGGGGAAACTTAATAGCTTGCTCTTGGTCTTTTAAATAAGGCACTACTCAATGGCAATCAAGAGGTTTTTTTTAAGATCACTTTTCTCACAGAAATATGTACTTCATATATATAAGGGAGAAAATCCTGTAGAAAAGTTATATACAAGACATCCAAAATGAGGGAGGACAAGCAGACAAATCTGCCTATGTAATTCCTTTTTTTTTGGGGGGGGGAACCATAGAAATATTTGTCCAATAGCAGCAGACTATTAATAGATTGAAATTATTGCTTGACAGAGCCATCAGAATCTCAAATGAAATGCCATGTTAAGAAATTACTGTTTTAAATGTTCTTTTCCATATTTTGTTTATGCCAGTAAAATACATTAAAGCACATACCCAAGTTAAGAGTCAGAGAGGAACTTGTCCACCATTTTAAAAACAAAAGTAAATTAATATGGCATGCATACGAACTCACTTCAAACATACACACACAACCACAGCAGCTACACGAGTCCGTCATCTGTCCCCTCCCCTAGGAAGACTGGTCTCGTTGATTTGCCTTCCACACAAATAACCAATAAAATTAATCAGCTGGAACACAGCATTTTAATCGTAGTAAAGTCGAGACATGTTTTGTTCATGATTTGAAGACAGCCGTCTTTTTTCATTTAAGCATATTAAGCCTATAATGTGCTGCAGACAAATGCACTGCATGGGGTGTGGAGGACCCGAGCTGATTAGATTACCACAACATCAGCCTGGGGCCGCCATTTTTAGAATCTCTAAAGGACAAAAGAGGGAAATTACAGTTTTTACTCCACTTTTATAGAAACTAACTTTAAAAGTATAACGTGTGCCATCCAACATTCTTCGCAGTCCATCCAGGTTTTCAGACATTATTTTAAATTTCTTTTAAATATAATTTATGAAAACATAAAGTGTTCAATTATTAATCTCCTTAAAGGTAGTCTAAATAAACTGAAGGGGAAAACACACATTCAGGTATTTTGGTTTTACTATAAATGTAGCGTTTTAAAGAGTGGTCCGTATGAATTGGGAACCATTGTGCTTTTAATCACCACACATTCCTCGATGATTGAGTACGGAGAAGTATGGGACCTTTCTAATTGGACTATATTATGTTTCTTCTACCCTATTTAGTACTACACAGTGGACCGTTTGTTTCTCCTCCCCCATGTCTGCAGCAATAGGGTCTGTTCCTCCAACTCTTTTCAAGAAAGAGGTTTTATTTGTGTCGCTCACGGAATGCGAGCACTGATCGAAAGGGTAAACTGTAACACAGAGATGAATATAAATATAACCTTGTACTCCTAATGTTAAAGATGAGTATCTGGGATAATTCCCACCTGCCACCACCCCCTTTTAAATTACCACAGAAAAGTCTTTAGAACTGTTCACCGTTTGCCTGTATAACACCACAGATCAGAGAAATAGGAAGATGGAAGGTAAACGAGGTGGGGGTGTGTGGAAAGGAAGATTAGGCCCATAACGAGCCATATTAGCTCAATAAAACAGAAATATATACAGAGGAAGTACACAGAATACGTTCAAGAATGTATCTTCATAAAACTCAATTACCAGCCTCTTTTTAAAACCCCAAGTCTGTTCCTTAAACCGGAGAGCTACAGAAATGCAGTTTTATCGCCTAACAACGTCCTCGTAATGTCTTTTTTAGCATTAAAAAAGCTGGCATAACTGCCATCAAAAAAGAAAAGAAAAAAGCTCCCAGCTCTGCCAGTTACAATAACGCGCCATATTCACAAGATATAGCGACTCCCCTTCCTTTTTAAGTCATTCCCCTTTCATAAGATGAGGCGAAAATCCAGAAGAAAAGATCATCCACAGTTCGGGAGAGGGTGGAAAGGAAGAGATCGATGATCACAATACACACGTATACACCAGAAGTAATGAAATGCTCCATCACTTTTAACCTTTCTTTTTTAAAGGTTCCCCCATTTCCCCAAAGGCACTCATCATAGGGCATGACAATCATAACAAATAAAGATAATAATGGCAGACTCACCTGTAATGATCACAGGCCAGGCAGCAGCACCCTCTTAACTGAGCCCCCCTCTTATCCCAACCAAAACAATGCAACAGTCCCACTGCGGATGTCCCTAGTCTGAACAGGACGTAGCTCTCAACAGCCTCTCGCAGAGGGGGGAGGGTCAGTGGTAAGGACCCCGAAGTTTGCTCGCTGCACAAAGCCCCGCGGGGACCAGGTAAGAAGCGCCTTTGCTTGGAAACCTCTGCACAATCCCCTAACTGCCACTGCTGCCGCGGCCGCCACTGCTACTCTTCCTCCCGTGTCTCCCTCCTCGCAGCCGCCTACGCTCCCTCCTATGTCACTGCCTCTCTGGGAAAATGGCGTCGACTCCCCCTCCCTTCCTCCCACTGCACGGGGTTCACCCGTCCCGCCTGGCAGGGGCAGGGTTACCAGGGCGAAGCCAAACAGCCGCCATTTTGCTTTTGGGCTAGAGCTCGGGTTGTACCCGCGAAAGCAAGCCCATTCGGGTCCATTTTGTAAAAACCCGGTTTAGGGGACGGAGTAAGGTTTTCAGGCAGAGCGAGAGGGCAGAAGCGGACATTCCCCCTTTACACGCACTCACACTGAAAAGTGGGCACCACTGAGAATGAAGGCGGAGAGTGTTGTGCTCTAGGGTGCTGCCAGAAGATGGGGGAGGGGCCCGACAGGGGAGAAAGTTGTTTGGGTTTGGTGCTTACGGTGACCGTGCAGGTCTCCAGCTCGTGCAGACAATGGGGGAGGGGCAGGGCAGGGCAATGCAATGTCTCAAGCGGACACTGGATGACTGGGTGTCTAAGAAAGGATGAGGAAATATTGCCACCACTCTGTGCGTAAGTCTGAGTTAAGGAATAGCTACTACTGTCCTGAAAGCCACTTAAATTAGCTTAATGCCACTGGCGCCAGGATCTCTGACTTGAGTCACCACCTCAGAATGTTTCTTTCCGATCCACTGCCATAGCGATCTGTGCACTCAAAAACGATGTATTCGAGAACAAAATAATAACGACTTTGACTGTGCTTAGAAAAACGCCCCTCTAGCTTTTGAAGAGCTTAGTCTCAGAAGTCCCTTTCGACTGGGTAAACTTTCTAGTAAATGTGCTTAGGGTTACAGCCCAATTCTTGCAAGAATTAAGAGAAAGTTTGGTCCAGCCAGTTGTGTCTCCTACAAGGACCACTCCACGACTTCTGCGTTGTGCGGTAAGCGCCGGACAGGCGCCCGTGAAGGGGATATCCTCAATCCTCTTCCTCAAATAGTGACAACATCGGCGAAAGGCGACTTTTTTCGGGAGATTTCGGAGCACCTCTTGCTGGGAACAAAAATCGTCCTTCCTCAGAGAACTGCTCGTAGCAGCGATTTCCATTTCGGGTGTAGCACTTGGACCATTAAAGAAGGAAGCGGGTGTGCTTGTGTGAATCCGCTCGGCCCCTCTCGACCAGTGAGAAGGAGCAATGTTGTACGATAAGCTCGGCCCCCTTTCGTTAATGCTTAGCACCCCCGCGCGCGCCGATCTCCTTCGCTCTCCTCCCTCGTTCGCTTCTCCTTTCTGCTTACACACCGACCCAGATTCGCGGCCGCCGGATCACAACGCTTTCAGCGAGAGAGAAGTGAGGGAGGGGAGGCGGGCTGGGGTTTCATTCGACGCCCACCAGGGGCTGAGTGAGCCTCCTTCAGTGCGCAAACTCGGGGCACCAGATAAAAGCTGGGCTGGCAGCTCTTACTCTGCCTTGATGGAGCCGAGACAGTCGAGTGGCAGAAGAAGGAAGTTAGGAACAGGCTAGAGTAGCTCCCTCCCAAACCCGCCCTGCTGGGGCACAAAGAGAGTCTGTGCGGGCTCGTGGTGCTGCCGCAGGAGGAAGAAGCTGAGGTGGAAAAGGCTCTGCCTGCTGCCCGACTGGACCCAGAGAAGGCGGCTGTAATGGGGCACTGAGTATGCAGAGGGGTGAGAAAGGGAGGGCGATTAAATGTCTTGTGACCATGGTGGAGTGTGTGGATGTTTTTATTATTTTTATTCCCCATGTCTGATCCCGGTGTGTATATTTTATTCTCTCTTTAAAGGACGCTTAGCGGGGCTGCTTGTTGGGGGTTCTGCCTGTTGTAGTATGAAATGGCGGCTGCCGTCTCCGTGTGGCTGGTAATTGTCGTGTTGTGTGGTTGTTGTTTTTCCTCCCTCTTTCTCCTGCCCTTCCCCCCACCCCTTCCTGCCGTGACCGTTTCTCCGCAACGAACCGCGGAGAGCGCACTGAGTCAGGAGAAGGAAGTGGTGGGGGGGATGGTGGAGAGAGCCAATCGGTTCTCAGGATGAACTATGGAGGCGCGCTCTGATTGGCGGACGCTGACATCATCCTGCAGTAGGGACAGACGCAGCTGCTGGGCAGGGCTGGGAGAGCTGTCGGGGGTGGATGGTGCAAAGGGAGAAAACGGGCGCCATGATGCCAGCGATTGGGTGAGAACGGGTGGGGGGAGGTTGTGCAGAGGAGGCGGTTGAGATCGGTGTAATCAAGAGACGGGAAGGGGGGCTTCGGGCAGGTTGATTCACCCTAACTCCCTGTGCTGGGCGTGTGGGGAAAGAATACAAGAGGAAGACCGGCTGGCAGCGGCATTTTGTCGGTGGCTGTAACTGCGTCAGCTCAAGATGGCGCAAGGTGTCCCTGGAGAGGGAAGGGAGCTGCACGTCCGCCGGAGGTCATGTGACCGCGTTGCATTCTTGTGTGGGGCTTGGCTGCGCACCAAGCTGGCTCAGGAAGAGGCGGTGGCGGCGTTCGTGGCGGTGTTGCTTGCTAGGGAGAGTCCCCTTCCGTGCGGTTGGAACAATTGCTGCGTTGGACCCCTTCCTCTGCATATGCCCTCCCCGTACTAGGGTGCATCAGCTCTTCTGGGAAGCGCTTCCCCCTTAGCTCCATTCTCCCCCCCCCCCCCACACACACAGGCGTTACGTGTTTTGGGAGTGACTCCCTTCCCCCCATATCTGCATAAAGCTTTTTGCGAGGGAAAGTTCTCGTTCTTTTCCATCGAGGGGATTGGGAGTGTAAACCTCGTGACATTCCTCGCTTAAGGGAGGAAGAGGGAGTTTTAGATGCTGGGCACAACTTCCAGTCTACTAAACGGGTCCGTTCATGGAGTTAAAAGCTACAAATTCGTGCGTTCTTAACATGGGAGTAAATGCAATTCAACCTGGCTAGAAGTTCGTTAAGCTCGATTCCCGTTCAGTTTGCTTTGTCGGGGGAATCCAAACAGTTCAGTGAAGATTGCTTTTATTCACCCTACTGAGATGTGAATTGTTACGGCCTTTTTCAGTTACCAACTAGTCATAGTGGAGAAGCGTTGAAAATTCTTTGTTTTTTCTTGCCTTATGCTCTCCTTGCAGTGAAAATAGTGTCTCGTTTAAAGTAGTTTGTGATAGAAACTAGGTGGCTGAAAACCGTGATTCTGTTAGTAGTACATCCGTCTTTGTGTATATTTCAGTAGCTTGGCAGAAGACAGGTGGCGGAGACTATTCTCCCCCCCCCCCATAATGTCTTGCTTTTTCAGATTTATGGGGGGCTCAAGGGTGGAGTAAAGGTGACGTTTAATATTTTTGTAGCTAGCATTATTTGAATGCTAAATCAAAGATGATAGTGCACATTAATAGCCCATCAAATGAAACTAAATTGACTATTTGAATACAGCCTGGCTAGCTTAATACATACTAATAGTTATTAAAGGCTGGGAAAATGCTAAGCCAGCTGGGTGTTTTTTTTAACAGGTAGAATTTGACATCTGTGCCCTTCTGTTCCTGAAATTTGTGATGTGTGCATTGTTGCTATGCCACATGCATCTTAACTTTTATTAAATGAATGTTTGAACTACTGTTCCAGTTTTACTGCAGTAATACTCTAAACATCCATATTTAAGTACTGTATTGGTTTGGTTAGGATATCTTAATCTAAATTAGGTAAGGTATGGTTGCAGACAGAACCCAGTTATGTAATTCATTTTGCTACTGGTCTCCAGTTTAGCTTCTCAGTTTTTATTTGACTTGGGTTGGAAAGCTATCCATTTTAGCTATAAAGATATTACAACAAGGGTATGAGAAAAGAAAGTATGTAACTGGGGAGCATATTTACTCTTATAGGCACAAACTTTTAGTTGCATCAGCCTCTTGAGGCAGCTTGATGGGTTTTAAACTTAATTTATGATCCTTGAATCTTAATAGATGGATTGTTAGACAAATTGTATTAAGCTACTGCTCTGTAAAATAGCTGAATTGGCACTTGGCTAAGCATGATATGCTAATCATAATATAGGTTGTTTCTTGACACTTAACATTTTTTTCTGCAACTGGAAAAACCTAGCTTTCCTTCTGATGCTAGGAGGAATATGACTAGCCTTTCAATAAGCTTTTTCCATTTGAAGAATAGACAAGAAATCTTAACTCCAGATCTACCAGTATATTCTCCCCTTAGAAATCAGTCTACTAACCATTATAGAGTTGTAGTTTAAACTTGGGTATGTTTATGGCATACCATGCTCTAAAGTGCATGATGGCTTCAGTTGGTCTTTGGCAAGGTGATAGCAGCTATTTCAGTTGTTTGATCACTGGGGCCTAAACAACTGAGTACTGATTAAAAATGTTATCGTTCCCCTTCAGAATAGAAATACTTTTTCTATATAGATTCAAGAGGCCAGCTTCAAAAATCACAGTTGCACCTATCCTGAAGTCTTGAATGTATAGAATTGTTATCAAGCACTTTTTTATATTAGTCTAGTAAGATTAGCTTGACGGCAAAAGAAGGGGACGGGAGAGAATGAGGTGGCTAGATGGAGTCACTGAAGCAGTCGATGTGACTGCTTCAGGGGATGGTGGAGGACAGGAAGGCCTGGAGGAATGTTGTCCATGGGTCACAATGGGTCGGACACGACTTCGCAGCTAGCAACAGCAACAAGTAAGATTAGCACTTGACCTGTACATTTGGGAAAAAAGCTAATAACCATAGAATGTTTCTATTATGACAAACATATTGAAAATCCAAAAATACCTAATTTGGGGGAAAGCCACAATTCTCAAAAAGTAGCTTGCTTTTATTTGCTTAGTCATTTTAGGAAATACAGGCGATTCTAACTAAATTCCAGAATATGATATATCTGGAATTCAGGAGCAAGTGATAGGTGCATTAATTTGTAGAGGAAGAAGTTCTGGTACAGCTGACAAGTATAATTGAACCTCACACCCTATGATGAAATTGCTTTCCTTGTTCAAACAACATAGTCTAAAACAGAAAGTATAGTCATATCAGCTAATCAGAAATTAACGGTGTTTTGAACTATAATAGCAAAGTAGGGAAAGAGCTTAAGTCACTGTCAAGGCCTAC